AGCTGCAGGGGCTGCTCGGCCGAGGAGCAGCGAGAGGAAGCCATTATCTTTTATGAGCAGTAGCCACTGGAGGGAGTGAAAATTGCAGGATGTTCAGCTTCCCAGCAAGGCACTAACGGATTCCAGCCTGAAATCCCAGCTGGACAGAAGAGCATCCCTGCCAGCACGCCCAGCTCACCCCTTGGCTGCTCCCAGGGAACACCAAGCACTGGAGCAGGCACAAACTGGGGAAGCTGGGAAGGAACCTCAGGGCTCCATTGGGCACTGGAAGTCAGTTGTGGATCATTCCAGTCTGGCTGGCCAGCTTTTTGGGACAAAGCAACCCACCAGGCCTCCAGCAGGAACCCTCCTTGCTTTGCCCAGGTCAGAACCTCCATCACACCACAAGATAATTGCCCAGGGCCACCTCTACTGGACGTGTCCCTGCCCAGGGCAGGGGGTTGGAACTAGATGATCTTTAAGGTCCTTTCCAACTCTAACCATCTTATGGTTATAGGTTGGAAGGGACCTTTCAGATCATTGAGTCCAACCACCAACCCAACATCTACAAACCCATCACCAAACCATATCGCTAAGCACTACATCTACCCATCTTCCATCATCTACGATGACAGATGCTGCACCTCTGACCTCTGCAGAAATACCAGTACCCTCCACCCCCTCCCCCAGCCACCTCTGGGGAGAAAGGGCCATATTTAGGGTCTGGCCTACAGCTACAGTCATCATTTTTGAAGTACAGCAGCAAAAATGAGAAGCAAGGGCCTGTCCTGCTCCCTGCTCACAGCAGGAGCATCCCTTGTCAGGCAGAGGGAGGGATGTGGGCCAGGATCCTGGGGATGAAAGCACCCAGGACCCACCTGGGCAAGGAGCAGGAGAGATGGGTGGCCCAGGCAGCACCAAACCCTTCTCACCTGCGAGCAGCAGCCCCAGGAGGTGCTGTGCTTGTCAGGCCATGGGTCCCTCTGGGTCAGGGACCCCCTCCAGCAGCCTTAGCTGGGGGGCAGCCCCCACACAGGGTGGGCAGCCCATGGTTGGACCCACAGCTGATGGGCCACCAGACACCCTGCACCCCAGGAGGTGGCACCAAAGTGGGCACCAGAAGGGACATGACCCAGGGGGACACTCAAGCAACAGCACCCACAGTCACCCGGGAGCTGAGCCCCCCGGGGGAGGATCAAGACCCCCTTCAGGTCTGCAACAAGCAGCCCAGACCCGCGGGCAGGACTCTCCCCCCATCTCCCTCTGCAGCCCCCCCTCAGGGTGGGACACCCCACACATCCCCGGGGATGGGACCCCCTCACCTGCACGTAGGGGTCCCCCGCCGCCGCCATGGCCCCCCCTCCCCGCTGCTGCCAGCACTGCCACCCCCACCGCCCACAGCCTCTTTATAGCCGCTAATTGCCGCTAATTGGAGGGGGAGGGAGGGTTACGGGTCCCCGCCCCACTCCCGTTCCGCCCGTAGGGGCCCCCCGCCGCCGCCATGGCCCCCCCTCCCCGCTGCTGCCAGCACTGCCACCCCCACCGCCCACAGCCTCTTTATAGCCGCTAATTGCCGCTAATTGGAGGGGGAGGGAGGGTTACGGGTCCCCGCCCCACTCCCGTTCCGCCCCACAGCCCCTCCCCGGCCAGAGCAGCTCCTGGGGGTGCTGGGACTGGTTCCCCCCTCTGCCGCTGCGGCACCCCAAGATCCCAAAAGGAGCCCCTGTGCAGGGCACCCCAAGGACCCATAACGGGCACCCCAAGACCCCATTCAGAACAGCCTGAGAAGCCTTATCTGGGACACCCCCCCTACCTGGGACACCCCAAGGGCATCGCAGCGAGGGCACCCAAAGACCCCTAGGACACCCCAAAACTGTCCTCATCCAGGACACCCTGGGCCGCCCTGGTCACCTGCACCCCAGGTTCCCCATCCAGGGCACTCCAAGCACCCACACACCACCACAGCCCCACAGAACAGGCCCCCGCTCCCCTCATTAGGGAGAAACTCCACTAACGATGAAAACCTGTGGCCATGGCACCGGCAGTGCATTGACAGCTGGCTGTGGGGGCTACTGGCCATGGGTCCCCATGGGTGACATTCTTCATGGGTGCTACTGGCCGTGGGTGCTACTGGCCATGTGTGCCACCCATGGGTGCCACTGTGGGTCCCCTCTGCCCATGGGTGCCACCATCTCTGGATCCTCACTGCCTGTGGGTGCCTGCAATCTGTAGGTACTGCTCTCCATGGGTAGAGATGGGTCTCTACATGGGTCTACACTCTCTGTAGACCCCTGTTGCCCATGGCTCCCCACTGCCCATGTGTCCCCACCGCCTGTGGGTGCTGCTGCCTGTGAGTCCCCACTGTCCCTGGACACTCGTGGCAGCCCGACCAGCCCCACAGAGCTGGGAGAAAGCCTGGGTGACTGGCTACCACAGGGAGCTGGCTGCTGGTGGGTGCAGCAAGGGACAGGGTGACAAATTGGAAGAAAAAAGATTCAGATTAGATCTCAGGAAGAAATTTTTTACTCTGAGGGTGGTGAGACACTGGAAGAGGTTGCGCAGGGATGGTGGGGGTGCCCCATCCCTGGAGGGGTTCAAGGCCAGGCTGGATGGGGGTTTGAGCAACCTGCTCTAGTGGGAGGTGTCCCTGCCCAGGGCAGGGGGGTTGGAACTCAATGATCTTTGAGGTCCCTTCCAACCCTAACCATTTTATGATTATATGATTCTATGAAGAGGCTGCTCCATCAAGGTGAGAGGTGGGGTCAATGAGCAGGAGGGCCTGTGGTGACAAAGAGAAGGCCAGACCCACAGCAAGGTCACCCAGCCTGGACTGGGACAAGTCACCAGTGGGGAGGAGGCAGATGTCTCCATTGGTGCCTGCTCCTGTCCCAAGCACCCACCCTGGCACCCCATTTTTTTCCCCACTGGTCTCGACAGCCCCACCATGACGCTGGCACAGCCCTGGGGATGCCAAGGCCACCCCAGAAGGTGCCAGCTGTGGTGACCCAGCGTGCTCCAGCAGATCCGGCAAGCGGGGGGATAAAAACATTGCTCTTCCTCTGCCCCCCCAAAAAAAGCCAGCACTTCTGCAACAGGGAACGCACAAAGACATCTTCTGATGAAAAAATAATGAATCCCTAATTGCCCAAGGGCTGTCAGCAGCATGTGGCTCATTAACAAATCAGGGAGGCGGGTTCACACCATGTGCAGCCTCAGCCATGGACTGGAGCTCCAGTAACAGCCCAGCAGAAAATGGGCACCCAGGCAGCTCTTGGGTCTTTATGACTCCCCAAAAGGGTCGATTGCACTTTTTTTTCAGCCGCCTCAAAAGCCCCAGCGAGGCCAGGGAGAGCTGTGGCAGCAGGAACTGCAGCAGCCCCCGGGCAGTGAGATGTGGTGGCCACCCGTGTCATGGGCACCTGCTGTGGCAGCAGGAACTGCAGCAGCCCCCGTGCAGCGAGATGCAGTGGCCATCCGTGCCATGGGCACCTTATGCCCCTCTGCTCTGCTCTGGGGAGACACCCCCCAGTGCTGCCTCCAGCTCTGGGGCCACCACCAGCAGAAGGACATGGAGCTGGTGGAGCGGGGCCAGAGGAGGCCCGGGAGATGCTGGGAGGGCTGAAGCCCCTCTGCTGGGAGGGGGGGCTGAGAGAGTTGGGGGGTTCAGCCTGGAGAAAAAGCTGGGGAGGGACTCTGGATGAGGGAGGGGAGCCCTAGGAGGAGGGGGAAGGGTTGGACCCTGCAAGAGGGGAGATGGAGCTGAGCTGTGGGGAAGAACTTGTTTGGTGTGAGGGTGGGGAGAGCCTGGCCCAGGTTGGCCAGAGAAGCTGTGGCTGCCCCATCCCTGGAGGGGTTCAAGGGCAGGTTGGAGGGGGCTTGGAGCAACCTGGTGTGGTGGGAGGTGTCCCTGCCCAGGGCAGGGGGTGGCCCTGGGGGGGCTCTGAGGTCCCTTCCCACCCAAACCAGTCTGTGATTCTGATTCATCCTATGGCACCCAGGGAAGCAGCGAGGAACCGCTCAAGGGGAGCATCGTCCCCATCACCCGTCCCAGGGAGTCAGGGCTCAGCGGGGGGGTTTGCAGGATGGTCCCTGCCCCCAGAAGATGGGAAGCAGAGGGATGTATGGACTGGAGGATGGACAACCCACAACCAGAGCAGGGTGGCTGGTCCTTAGGACACCAGAACAGGCGCTGAGAGGCTGCAGGCAGTGAGACACCGTAGGTAGCACATGAATTCATATATAGTAAAAAGTCTTTATTAAGAAGGCTTTGAAGTCAAAAAATAAAACTCTTGATACAATTTTCATAACCGTCAAGTCAGCTCAGCAAATATATAATCAGTACTTTAGCCATGTAAGGTTAAAGGTCCGTTATTTTCTTTTTAAAATAAAATATATTTTAGTTTTTAAAATTTATTCAATAAAGTACATATTTTCCTATAAATTCCCTACATATACATAAAGAGGTAAAAAATAAAAAAATAAAACTAAAAAAAAAAAAAACCAACCCAACAAAACCAACCACAAAATAAAAAGGAGATAGAAATCTGTCTGGGTTTTTTTGCAACATGGCGTGTTAACTGTGCCCCCTCCGTCCCACGGGCCCCCCCGGCCTGGCCCCTCCAGCC